ATAATGCACCAGATTTACCTGGTTATCAGCATAAATCCTGATTAAAATGCTTTGAATTTAGCTTTGTGGTTACAGTGTAGCAACATGTGCAAGGCACTGCATGAAGTAGTTTCTTATTACCCTTAAGCCGATTTGCTTGAACCAGACTGTGTGAAAATTGCCACTTCAAAAAGGGACTGTTTGCATCTTAAATTAGGTGCTGAGACTAGAACAGTGTTAATGTTTAAAATCATGAAAAAGTCCTTCTGGATTTGGTTAAAGATTAAAGGTTTGCAACATGTTCCAATTGGTTTCATTACATTTAAAAAGATGCAATAATTACATATCCACTGATATTGACTCAGGTAGGTTTATGGAAACTATAAGCAAATAGCTGATTTAAATGTATTTTGGAAAAAACAAAAAAACTTAACAGGCATGCCCAAAGTTGGTCCTCGAGAGCCGCTGTACTGCAGGTTTTACAGGTTTCCTTGCTTTCGCACAGCTGATTCTGATGTTTGCAGTTCAGTTAAAGCCTGTTAATCAGCTCTCAATGTAAATCAGCTGTGCTGGAGCAGGTAAACCTCTAAAACCTGCTGGACTGCCCTGGAAGACCAACTTTAGGCATGCCTGTCCTTAAGTAACAGCTAAAGTTTTTTTTGTGCTTTATCCAAAATACATTTAAATCAGCTGAATGCTTATAGTTTCCAAAACCTACCTGAATCATTATCAGTGGATACATAATTATTGCATGGAGGACCAACTTTGGGCATGCCTGTTTTAGGAAAACCTAATACTTTTGCATGGGAAACTCGATGTTATAGCTCTACCTAGTGACAGAACAGAAGCATTAAAACATCATAGACGTTTAAGGAAGAAAGGTCGTTGTTCTGAACTTCCTTTATGCAGGCTGTATAGCTTAACAAAGCTTAGCTTCAATAACTTTACTTTACTCAATTTTTCATTATGTTTATTTACTTTTGTATGTATAAATATCCCATGAAAAAATACAACAACAAAAGAAAAAAACAACTAATGCAACTATAACTAAATATTATACAAAAAGATTAATATTATTTTAGATCTCCATATTGGCACTTACTTCTGGATCATCATTTGCTAGGAAATTAAGTATTCTAAGAGAATAATTCAGTCTTTTCAGACTCCTAGATGCTTTCCATATTTTATAAGATAGTCAAAGCCTCCATTGAACTTTGAGGCTTGAAGTTAATTACTATATTTAATAACTCAGCAGTATTAAAAGAGGTCATTTAACTTTAAGATCGCAAGATTCTCAATCTTACATGAAATATTATCCAAAAGATGAAGACCAATTCAAAGTAAAGGATCCATAGGAAACCAAAGGATGGATCAGTCAGCAATCTCATTCCAAGAGCCTTTATGCAAGACTATTCAGACCCCTTTAAACTCTTCTGCATTTTGTCACATTATCACCATATAATGGGCTGCTCAGTGGAGCAGTAAGTAACACTGCTGCCATACAGCAAGAAGGTTCTGGGTTTGATTTCTGGCCTGGGTCTTTCTGCATGGAGTTTTCATTTTCTCTCTGAGAATGTGTGGGTTCTCTCCGGGTACTCCAGCTTCCTCCCACAGTCCTAAAACATGACTGTTAGGTTCATTGTTTTTTCTAAATTCTCCTTAAGTGTGATTATGTGCATGAATGGATGTCTGTCTCTGTGTTGGACTGTGATGGACTGGCGAACTGGGGTTGGACCCCGCCTCTTGCCCCTAGAGGTAGGCACCAGCACTCCTTGTGACCCTGCTTGGGGTAAGCGTGATGCCATGAAACATCAATGTATTTTAGTTGGATTTACTAATACTAATAATTATGAAGTTAATGGAAAATTATACAGGAGTCTCTTTTTTTCTTAATTTTAAAAAATAAAAATCCAACTTATGATGCAATCACAGTTGCAAGTCTTTGGGGAACGACTTGTAGAGATAGATATCTTATCCCATTTGTCTTTGCAAAATAGCTCATACTTAGTGGTGGTGAAGATTCTCAGTCATCTAGGTCATAGTCATTCCAAAAAAGTAAAAAAAAAATCTATAGGACTTTGTTTCCAAGTTTGAAGATGTTTCGCTTCCCATCCGGGAAGCTTTTTCAATTCAAAATATCAGGAATAGCGTCAAGTTTGAGGCTTTATACAGTAGCCCAACAAAGCCTTCTTTTTGTTTAGAAAACATGCAAATAGAAACGAACGAACGGGTCCACCCCTTTGGAACGGGGGTCATTTGGCTTCTTTTGTTAACCTGCAATGCTCCATACCTGTCTATGTGTCTGAAAGGGGGGTAGTTAAAGGAAACTTTTCACCTGGATGAATAGACAAGGTCTTTTTTTAGGGATTGCTCATACTTAGTCATATTGAACAGAAAGGATCTGGGAACATCAGATTCTCAATTGATTATTGGCCTGAACTTTGACTGGGTACTTCTAACACACTTTAATCACACCATTGTGTTGATTGTTTGGGGTCATTGTTCCTCTGGAAGGCGAACCTCTGCAATGAAAAACCCCGCCTCACCAAGTCTTTTCCCTGTATTTGATTGTGTCTGTCTAATAATGGTGTTTTTGTTAAAAACCATTCTAGAAAGGCTGGATTTGTGCCGCACATGGCTTATTGTTGTCCTGAGGATCTGCAGCAGTTACCTCTACTTTTCTTATCTGATGTACAGCTTTATTGTTTCAACTACTATCTAAACAATAAAAAAAAAACAAGTGACACAAAAAATAACATTAATAAACGAGTCAAAGCCCCAGACGTTGGAAATACCAACAGTTTATTTTCTACCTTTTGTGACTACAGAAATGTCGAAACATTTGAACACTGAAAAAAGCTGGATGACATCATCACTTGCTTCTCAATTTTCTTTCTTCTTTTTTTTTCTTTTCAAAATTATTTTGCTTAGCAATCACAACAGATGATATTGCACGGCACTGAGAAAGCAGTAGCAAAACTCTGGGAAACAGCGATGACAAATCAAGTCATGATATATGGAGTTATAATCTGAGGGTATCACCGACCGTATTGCCTCTCTGGCACACGTGCACACTCACACTCGCACCATTCAGGGACGAAAAAAAAAGGAAAGAAATCACTGTGAGTCTAGAGGCATGGAGAGGAGGTGAACCAAAAAGAGATCAGGGGACGAGCAGATCGATAGGATTTTATTTGGAAATGCGTATGAGTAGATATGAGCTGTGACCATAATAAGATCCTTTATGGATACAAGAACAAATATGCTTGTTTGTCAAAACCCTTCAAGCATCTTTGTATATGAATAGCTTGAGGACACCCCTCTGTGGGTGAGAAACTAGTTCCCCAGCGTAAAGAGATCCAGATGATTGTCTTAGGCGCTGCAGTATTGTTATGAGACTTGTAGTCAAGCTACCCATCATATGGGAACTCCATTGGGACAAAATAAATAAGATATAAAGTAAATAAAAAAATAGGTCCACATTGCATCAAATGGTTTCAAAATAGATACACTCCTTCTTGGGTATAACTGAACTGCTTGTACTTTTCTGATGCAACATCTTCCATCTTGTGATGAAACGACTGCAGAACCTGATTTCATCTCTTCTGACATTCAGTGCTTTTAGAATCTGTATTGATGATGAAGTGAGGAAGCACCATGAGTGGGATCCTCTGCTCTGAGATGCAGGAGTCAGCTACACACACATGCAAGCGCTTCAGAAACAGACTGACTATATGCAGGAGTTAAAAGAGGGGGGGAGGATAAAATAAGATGCATGGATCCAAGCAGACACCCAAACTTGCACATCTCTGCAAATCTACAGTGTCTGCCTTAACACACACTCACACGGAAATCCCTTTGGTTAGGTTCTTTGCAGTTTATTAGACTTTGCTCATAGTCATTACACCAGTTTGTACCAAAGGAACAGATACTTGGTGGAGCGAGGCGGCGAGCCACAGCAAATAAAAACAGACCCAGCTCTGTGGCATTGCCCCCTGGCAGACCGGCTGCCCCACCCTGCGCTCCACCTCACCCCGTGGACAAGACAGCAAAGTGAGCAGGGCTTGCAGCCCTGGTTTCAAAATGCTTTCAGATTGTACGCTTAACAGGAGATTCCCCACATGGTAGAGTAAGCTTGCCTACACAGCCCTACGCCTTCTACATTCTATACCCGTGCGAATGGCGAAGAATAACTCAACAGATCTACCTCACAAATGCCAGTGCTTTTTCCACCCCCCGCCCCCTTATACATATTTTTTTGTCCAATTTTTGGTCTGGTTTAAAAATCTTTGGATGTGCAGTATTACCCATAAAGTAACTGTTTTTTTTTTCAGTTTTTTTTTTTTTTTTTCCAAAAAAATTTCAAAAGAAATGTAAAACGTAGACCCATTCACACTGCTACCCAACAAAGTAGGCCCTATTTAACTTGGTCGGCACTGGAAAAAGGACTGTCCGGAGTTTTGGCAGTGTTCAAAACACACATTGAAATGTCAACTATGATGTGGTAAAAAAACAACAACAAAAAACCACAGAAAAACAAAAAAAAACTACTCCTCCTTAAGATCTAAACATAGGAAATAAAACTGTAACATAACATATTGACTGTCTTTTTGGTTTCATTTGTTTCCCCTCCCCCAAAAAACCCTACTATGTACAAATCTAGAGCTTCTAAAAATGCATAAATTAAAGAACCCATACAAAAACGCAATTAAATTAAAATCACAACACAGTAGTAGGTAGAAGAGAAAGTAGGAACACAACATCACAGCAGTTGGTTTTACCCTGTAAAAGCAATCATCTACATCATAATATTGGCATAACCCCCAAATGTCTGATAAAAAATACACTTCTCCCTCCTCCATCCTTTAAGTTTCTCATCAACCCTGAAACTTTGTCCTCTTTGTTTTGAAACAGAGCACTTTTGCCAAAAGAAAACAACAAATAACAGCCTGAAAATAGATTATCAGCTTTTTGAAGAATCAATATCAAATACCACACAGTTGAAGTTCTACCTTACTCACAGATAAGACGTCTTGATGCAGAACTCAAAGGAATTATCACTATGAGGTATTCAGAGACACTGGTAAAAGACATGCACGGCCAGAGTGCTGGACCTTCCTACACACAGCAGAGAGAGAAGGGAGAAAGGTAGGGATAGAGGAGGGGGGCGGGACAGAGGGAGGCGAGAAACTAAGACCTTTGGTTTGATCTGTAGAAGTGGACAACAGAAAAGCCTTTGGTATGTTTTCATTGCATGGTTGTGCCGGTGAAAGCACCACGGTGTGAATCACAAAACAAAAAATAAGAGGAAGAAAAAAAAGAAGAAAGGAGAAAAAAAATCCTTGTCTCTTCAGTTGTGGCCCTTCTACAGGCTGAGGTATTCACAGAGTCAGAAGTGAGAGGTCAACAGCGGTTAAACACTTTGGTTCAAGCAAGGCACTCATCCTGGGAGATTTTTTTTGTTGTTTGTTTGCTTTGTTAGAGTTCTAGAAAGATTGCAACATATCTGCTTCTACTTTCAGGAACATGTCTGCCTATAGTTGAATCAGTGATTCTGCCCATGGCTATGTCAGGCCGTCTGCCTGCGGTCATGTGAAGATGTCTGACTTATTGGTTGGATCAATATATGCAAAACTAAAAAGGCAGGGGCCAGTCGAAAGAAAAGAAAGTGTCATAGGGAACCTACTGTACTGTGAAAAACTAGATGTCTTCTTACTGCAGTTTATGCTTTTTACACCTAAATGTTTTAGAAGATCTCATCTTTTTTAGATTAAAAAATAGAATCCATGTAAATATTAAACGCAGTTTTCAAATACTGATTTCTTTAAGGAAAAGAAATGTTATACAAATCATCCAGGCTTTTGGGAAAATATACCCCATGCAACCAAAGCATACTTTGGTTTAGTTCCACTAACTTTAACCCCGGATGGACGACTACAGGAAGTGTAGAAATCAAGAAATATAGTAAAAAGATCTCTAAATGAATTGTAGATAAACTATATAAAAGAGCAAAACTCCTGAGCCTTTCTGAAAGAAACAGCTTCTTACAAACTAACTCACCTCTATCAGTAAGGAAAGGGTAACTAAACGACTTCTATTGATTTGACCTTCCAGTTAAACACAGTGAGAACCATCATCCTCAACAATGGGGGGGTGATTGGCCAACAGAAAAATGACTACAGCCTGCATTAACCAATCATGCAAGAGGTCAAACCAAAACACAGAACTACAGCTAAAACACTGCAGCTCACAAACTCATTCTTATTCACCAATAAGAACGAGAAGAGAAATTGGCACCTGATCAACATGCAAGGCTAAAAATGACCAAAAAGAGCACAGATACCCTTCTCACCATTCAGATAAAAAAAAAAAACTTTCTGTGATCCCTATTACTTTTGGTTAAATATTCACTGTCCTTTTACATCTGGTGTGCAACTAAACAGCATTTCACAATAGATCCACCAGTTAAACCAAGACAGCAGGATGTTGATCCAAATCAGACCAGTAGGACAACATCAAAGATAAACAAAAAAAACAAACAAATCAAGACTTTTAGATTGGCCTATTGTCTAGGCCTTAATATTCAATTGATTCTACAGCATATGCAGGCACTTTATGATCTGAAAGCCCCCAGAGCTACTGAATTAGAAATAATCCTGCAGAAAAGAAAAGGTAAAAAATGTTCCATCCTGTAAATGACAATCTAAGTGTTTAAAGAAGACAGAAAAAAATATACATTTTCCTTCCATATATGTATTTAGGATAACCAGTTATGTAAAGGGGTAGTTCTTTATCACATAGGATCAGACTGGTTTGAAAGCATTCCTCCATTAATAAACACCATTTGAAAACTGCATTTTGTATTTATCCACTTCTTTATATTTGATTCTGAATTACTTTGATGATATGAAACTTTTGTAAATGATGAATCAAAAACAGAAGAATTTAGAAAGGGGGCAAATACTTTTTTTCACAGCACAGTGGTTTAAATCCAAATTCTATTTGAAAACGAATTCATAGATCAAGCTAGAAATGTAGCTTCATGCATTTCATTTACACATTAACTGGCCTCAAATAAAAAAAATGAGTATGCATGGATTCATTTTTGCTCAAAAAAAGATCATGCTACTACAAATCTTCTCTGCAGGCACCTTCATGGACGGTCGTGTGCATCTACGGCTGGAACAGCATGTCTGCCTTTTACCTGCATCAGCAGGGCTATCTATGGAGCTGTAATCGGAGCAAATATTAAGCAGGAGTATGCAGAAAAAGAGGATGCATGGGCTGATTGCAGGTTGGAGGTTCTGGAAAAGGGAGAAGGACAGGCCAGGAGCAAAAACACAGGGGAAAATAAAAAGGGGGGAGAGGTCACATACATTACACTGCTTTGAACACCACTCACAGAGGCCGTGCAATTAGAAAAAATCTTTGGTTATCTTTGGTATCATCAAAAGTGATAGAAATCACATATGGAACTTGAGTGAGGTAGCATCTTTGGTTCACACTAGGAAAAAAAAAACAAACAAAACATCAGTAGATCTTAACATTTTTTTGTCTCTTGTCATATTTTTGGTTTTTCTCTAAGAGGTGAAGGAGAAGCCGCTTCTGCTTTCCTCTCCTTTGGATTTGTGTTGTGATGAATGTGGCTCTGCTAACCCCAGTCAAGAGGAGGAGCTCAGCTTAGCACATTTAATGCTGTGCCAACCCAAGCCAGGCCCATGTAGTGCTTTCCTCCGAGTGCTCAGATGCATCACCTCCCAGGAGAAGGGAGGAAGGGTAAGGATGTGTGTGTGTGTGTTTGAGTTGGAGGGGGGGGGGGGGCAGACTTGGCAGGAAGCTTCTGTAAAGAGGCGGCGGTACGCTTCTTTGTATTCAGGTGAGAAGGTGACATTGCTTTGTAAGCGCCTGAAAGTGATTCGATCATTGATATCATCTTCTCTGCTGTACATCTTTGATGAGGAGATCAAATCAAATTCACGTGAAGCATGTGGGGATGATGGAGTGACACTCAGTGCTGATTATGAAGGTGGTGACACAGTTTGTCCTTAAAAAAACATCAGAGGCTATCTGTCACACACAGAGCCACCAGTTTGTGCTTTCACGTCTAGACAGAAAACACACTATTGAATGCATAAACTAGAGCTGCTGATTTATCTCACAATGTTTTTACACATTAGTGCTTTGGCTGGCTGAGGAACTGAAATAGGATGGTAGCAAGGCAATTATATTCAAGGTTTGGCTATGGGTAGATTTATAGTTAAAAGGTTTTTTATTTTGTCATAATACGGAATAATATTCTTTTGTTTTGGGGTACAGGGGTGAATAGGTTTCTCAGAGAGCACAGTAGCACAAAAATGTAAAAAATATGTGTTGTTAAGTATGGGCTGATTATCTATTTTGCTCTTTTCTGCAGGTTTTTTATGCTTCATCATTTTATCCTTTGGTTATCAACATCGCATTTCTGGTTATCAAGACTCTACAGTTGCTGAGCTGTGATCCCAGTTGCAGTCCCAACCCTAAGCTTCTGGAGCCACTGAAATGGAACTCTACCCCTCCCCCACCTGTTTCTATATACTGCTGCTCAGCTGCCAGAAAAAAGTAATTGACACATACAGTCATGGCAAAATGGTAAAAAGATATTATTTTGCACTATAGTAATAAAGTAGAAACACTATGCAATTACAGAAACTCTTAGTACCAGAAGTTAAATAAATAAGTTAATAACTTATGTTAAAGTAACTGTTATAAACATTATTTTAAATTATCAAAAACGGAGTTAATAAACGGATACATATTTACTTTAAACCTTTGGTAAATACATTAAGTTGAAACTATACTGTTAAAATTACAGTTATCATATTGAGATAATGTCAACCTGCCCATGCTTGATGATCATCTACAAAATATATTCTTTGGTATTTGTAAATGTTATTTCTGCTCTGCACGAGAAGCTTGACACTAAAAGAGCAAAAGATTCTCTTATTTTCATAACTTTATGCTTGAGCATGTTGGAGGAAAGCACCACTGTATGGTTTTTCTCCTGTTTGGTTTGGTTCACACTCTTTGGGTTTGGGTTAGCAGTCTACCAATGGACATTTCCTGTCCCCATCTGTCTGGAATGCTTGATAGAACGACAGACAACTGCACAGACTGAAATACAGACAGACAAACAGACATACAGGGAGTCAGACAGTCCAAGCCACCGGTCCAAACAGAGTTGCAGAACAATCCAGTCGCTCCTGCAGGATGATTCTTTTTTTTCCCTTTAAAGTTGATTGGCCAATCCCGCTGGAACTCCACATTCATCCCTGTTTTTTGTTTTTTTAAAGATCTTTTTTTTTTTCCAGGCTGTGGACAGCTGCAGACAACACTGCCAGTAGGCTGATTAAACCTCCACTTGGGGACCCATCATTAAAACCAACCAATCAGATTAGAGATAAGGATGGCAAATGATAGATTGATACACAGTAGGGAGGTGAGGGGTTATAGTAAAGCTAAAGACCTGTGTGTGTGTTTGTGAGTATGTCTGTGTGTGTGTGTGTATATGGGTGTGAGTAACGTCTTTTTGCAGTATTTTACACAAAAATATGTTGCTGAAACAAACATTGTAAAGCAGGTCAAACAAGAAGTCTTTGGTTTGTTTTTCATCTTTGGATACTATAAATATCAATATAGTACAGGTTTAAGGGCAAAACGTAGCTTCAAGGTCTTTAAGTTTTCTTTGTTTCTCTGAATTTTTTAAAGCTTTTCCACCGAGGTTGAGTCAGTCCATGAGTTGTTCAGGTCAGTACAACTTCAGGCTTTGGTGCAGGCGTTGTGCCCCGAGTTGACTGCATGACCGGAGCCATCATCCAACCACTTGTCCAGACTCCGGCGCCTAGCGTTCATGAAGAAGTTACTGACCGTGGCCAGCTCGAGGCCCAGCTGCTGTGCAATGGTGAGCTGCAGCTCTTTGGATGGACGCTTGTTCTCCTTGAAGATGGCATGGAGCGTCCGCCGCTGCACGTCTGTGAACACTAGCCGGGGCTTCTTGGTCACGTTCCCTCGCTCACTTCTGCCATGATCTTGCTCTTTGCGCTTGCAAGCTGAGAGGGAAGACAGAGAAAGGCAGTGAGATAACCTCATTTAATGGAAAAAAAGGAATCAGGTCAGGTTGCAGTGAGAGAAATAGACAATGCACGCCTAGAAGACAACAGGCTCCGCTTCAATCACTTAGATGTAATAATTAAAGCCAATTGCAGCTGATTGAAAGTGGATTTCCATCAATGTCATTATGGCGCTTTTACTGTTTTAAATGTGTTACAACTATTTTCTTTCCCAACTGGTTCCCAACAAGTTGTTATTAATAGGGTTAGCTGACTCTATTAACATGTGGATTAACACCACTTCAGTGTCTGATAAACAGAAAGGACTCTTCATTTGATCAGATGTTATACACTCAATGTTTTAGCACATATGCGGCCATCCTCCCCCTAAAAAATCAAAGGTTGCCTGAAAGAATTGCAATACTCATGGGTCTCTGAAAGACCACACATGCTGACAAGCTGATCTTTATGCCTCTGACGGCTCTCTTTGACATTTAACAACCAAAAGGAATCCCGCAGCAGTCTGAACGTTGGAAGCTGTGCTACTTGTTTTTTTGCTTTACCTTTTTTGTTTTCTTTTACTAACACAGCAATTATTGGCAGAAATAGGAAATCACTGTGGGATTTGTCAGTTTTTTACGTTTTTCTTGGAGCAATGTAGACAGTAGGACCTGGTCTACTCACTGATGAGATAAACAGTTACTGAATACCAAGTAAGATTAACAACATTTACCTAAATATATCTAGGTATATGTTGTTCTTTGTTTCTTAGGATAAGATAACTTTAACAGAAGAAGGCAATAACCAAATCAGTATTCAATATGTGCTGAAAAATGCTCTTGTAATTCTCCTTCTAAAAATATAATTCTTTCACTTTGTCGATTAAAGTATTTAGGATTTACCTGTTCTGTTTTATATACTGTAAGCCTAGATAAAAAAAGGTAATATTTGAAATGTTTAGCTATGTTTTATTAAATAAATTAAAGCCCAAACTTCTGGTATCCAGAATGTCCTAAAACCCAAAATTCTATTATATGCTATCATAGAGAGCTCCCCAGCTTCAGGGATACAATTTTTTTGGTAATGCTGGCAAAAAGTTTTTTTAATTTTTTTTTTTTTGCCAAAGGCAACTTGGAACTAAGTTTTACAATGCATTGTGGGAAGATTACGTAAAGCTAGAAACAAACAAGCATACAAATGTACTAAACCACAAGTTTTATGACAGTTAAAAAGATTCACTGAGGATATTTAGTTTGCTATATCCCAGACTATAGAAACATGGGTTGCTGTTTTATCTGCTGGACTTGCCTGCTGGTGTAGAGTTCAACTGCCTCATTGAGTTTCTTTCATAGATTAAGCCAAAATATGAGCTACTATTGACAGATTTTTTCCCCTTTTACCTCACCAAGAGCGTACTCATATATCAGTGCTTCTGAATTAATTTTTGGATGTAGGCACTGTCTTCTAACCCCCCTGTGAGTCATGGTAAAGGACGGATACCATTGAGCTTGGTTCTACAGCAACCTTGGTTCCTCACCAAAGCTGCCTCATTTCATGCTTAGTATGAGACTTTGTTGCAAAATCAGTGGCACAATGCAAGCAACTATCTACTGTCACCACATGGTCATCCAGGAGGAATGAATACTTAAATTAATCTGCTGGGTTTCCTGAGATAGAAAACTTTTTTTAAAATCAATTTGTTTGTATGATTGGATTGAATGAACTCTACCTTCAGACAGCAGGTGTTGTGAATTGATGCTATCTAAATAAACCGGTTTGATTTGCTGTCTGCCTTACTGTCTAAGCTTGATTTAAGCTTACCAACATTTGGTAAAATTCTTATTAAAAAACGTTTTGTTAACAAAAAATGTGCTTATTGTTTATCAGTGGATTATCAACTCTATGGCTTGACCAAGACACACATTTTTAATGAGCTGCTCTAAGAAACTCCACACAATTAGGTTATATTGTGCAGACAGCAGGCGTCTGAGCCACGGGAAAGAGGGGCGCTGTCCAGGGTGCTGAAAGTAAAAGACACCGCAGCTTGACAGAAGCATTCGATCTAAGCCCCAAAAGGAAGATTTATTTACGTTCTCTTTATCCTCTAATAAAGCAAATGTATAAGGTTCAGGTACTTATTAGCGGTTTTTTTCTTCTTTTTTTTAAACATATTTTTTGTGCAATCAAGTCCAGCACTGTCAGGCAAACTAAAGCGCACCAATAGATTGAGACCAACAGGGGGCAGACGCAGCCTGTTAAAAGGACAGAGGGAAAGTCAACGTACATTCACTGGGGGATAATTAATGAATGGCAAAGCTCTTATCACAAAACATTATTTAACGCGGCACTAATCAATAAAACGACTGGTTTAAGAGGCTTGTTAGTAAAAATTGGCAGGACAACAACTGAGTAAGCGATTTAAACGCAAAGAAATCGGCTCCACTGCGTAAAAAAGTGTTAAGTTATAGCAGATTTTTGCCTGAAACTTCGTGTATTAATGCTTGATTTTTTATATGATATTTGTTTTGCTGTATTCCTCTCAAATTAAGCTTAAAATAAGTTCATTTTGTAATATTTCGCTTTTCCTTTGGCATTTTCAAGGCGTGCATGTGCAATACAGTGGCCCATACTGGCATGACCATAAAGAGAGGTATAATGGCGTGCATGAGTAGCCCGCTGTCTCCAGTGCTGCTAAATATTAACAGAGGGCTGGAGCCCCTTGTGCTAAGGGTTGCTATAAATCAGCAGGAGTGAAGGCCACTCAGACAGCAGCAGGAGCCACCACAGAGCGGCCACGGCCACGGTGCAAGGAGGAGGCCAGGCCGAGACACAGAGACAGACAGAGGCAGCTTTCCCAGGACACTGGAGGACCTAACAACCGCCTCATTATCAGCTTAATCACACAAGGACAGGCTCAAACAGTACCACTGCTGCTCCCGGCTAATCATTACAAATACGCAGATAACTCCACACACTGAAAACACACACTGGGCCTTCGTCATAGTCAACAAACAGACTGGTGTGTAAAAACATGCGGCAAGTGTACTAAATGATCTGCTTTCATTCCAACTGAAATTAATCAGTTCTAAATACAGCAGGGAATGGTCTATTCTATTCTGTTCTATTCTATTCTATTCTATTCTATTCTATTCTATTCTATTCTATTCTATTCTATTCTATTCTATTCTATTCTATTCTATTCTATTCTATTCTATTCTATTCTTGTAATTGACTGTGTCATTCCATATGAGTGATTGCGTGGGAAAACCAGAAGCGGCCCGAGATGAATTTCAGCAGCCTAAAATCAATAAGTATATCTCATCTACTTCAACATATGATCAGATTCTCCCAGCAACGGCCGGATCAATAGCATGAGCCAGGGTCTGTTATTCTAAAGTGATGTTTTCTATGTATTATTTGGAGCATTTTAATAATGGACATTTTCTTAAATACATGCACTGCATTATTTTTAATGCCTTAAGCATTATGATTACATGTTATTGAGTTTTAATCAAATTAACACTTGTCAGAGGAAAACAACAAGGCTCAAAGAAATAAAGAATTTATGCTTCTGGTTTTCCTTTAATAATACATAATAACCCAGACTTCGAAAGAAACGCTTATTTCATAATCGATTGTGGTTAATCCAATTACAAACTCAGCATTCAGATTATAAGACGTGCCTTAATGAGATATAGTTTTGGAAAATGTATTATAAGGATAATAGTAGCCTTATAATAACATGAAATTTTATTTTTTCATGGAGAAATTAGTTTAAAAATTCTGTTTTCAAAATGCAAAAACTGTAGAAACAGCAGCAGAACCAGATGGGAAAAACTGAAAAACAATCAATTACACTCGCTTGCAAAGGCGCTCACGCATGCATGCACGCACAAAAATCCACATATATATATATATATATATATATATATATATATATATATATATATATACATATATGAAGCTAAACACGTTATAAAAGTTTATAGCTGTTTCATTTCCATTTTTACAAATTATTATATGATTTCACAGGAAAATAGTCTGTGATCTGATTTATACTTTTTTGGTCTGACTCTCAGATCATGTAATTGACTCTAAGTACCTGTACCCGAGGATACATTGAATGCACAGCTCCTCTAGTTAATCACACTAACTTGAATTATCATTTTTTTCACACCGCTGTGCTGTTTGAACCCGACTGGGATTGTATGCCAATACTCTTTTTTCCCCCGTGCCTTAAAAGGCTTTAGTCTATTTCTTGAAATCAGGGCCAAAGCAATCTTCACCTGTTCAATTATGCATGAAAGCAACTCCAGTTGACATGTAAATCTAGAAAATCACCCATTAGTAAATAAACAAGCACACACGTTCCATCTGTGTTGGTTTGCAAGCAGTAGGCTAGGCCAGCAACGAAAAATAACATAAACAAACAAACAAAAAAAGCAAAAACCCGAATAACAAATAAGTTAATAAAAAAGCAAATTATTTATAACTTAAAAAAACCTGATCAGCAGACTCAACACCAAAATAAACACGTCCTTATAACGATTTCTGGAAATAGGATCAGTTTATCAACTGTGTGCTGTGATCGATATTTTGGAGGTAAAATAACAAGAGCACTTGTTTCACACAAGCCTAGAATTAGTCCTTAAAAAGATGACGAGGCAATGCTCTTCTATAGTCTAATTATATAACATTTCGCTTTGTCAGCATGAATAATAATATTTAAAATAATCTTGAAATGTGTTAGCTTTACACTCATTTCTCCAGGTGATGTTGGTGGTTTGATCATTAAATGAGGAACAGTCAGCTTGGTTGGGATGTTTGAATGATGACCCCATGTGTGGATTAATATGAAGAGTTTTACATGAAAAACAAGATGAATGTTACCTCATCAAGATCTTTGCAAATGAAACAACCCTCTGTAACATGTTAGTTTTCTCATTTTGAGGATGCAATAATGAAAGAAAATAAGAACAGAATAAAAACTAAAAATAAAAAGAGGAGCTTTACCGAGGCTTCGCTCACCTGCGAGCCTGAGTGCACTCATGCGCTGGAACTCAGGCTCCTGCAGCCACTTCCACATGCGACGGAAGGTCTCTCTGCCGGACTTGAGCTTTGACCAGGGTTTGGGGTTCCTCAGCAAGTCGGACAGGGTCCCCTGAGACCTGCACAGGACCCGCTGAGCAAAGATGGCTTGAGGGATGCTGTAACGCTTCAGCTCCGTGGTGATCCTCTGCGCTACTTCTTTGGTATTCACCTCCTCCATCTGGCCGCCAGAAACACCACCACCGCCTCCTCCACCCCCAGCGCCGCCCCCTTGGTGCCCAGGCCCGGAGGCCTGCTCCCGGCTGTTACCCAGCCCCTGGCCGTGGCCCTGCGCGCTAAGGTGGGCGTGCGGGTGGTGATGCAGGCCGTTGATTTGCACCATGCCTGCGGAGGAGCTCATGTGCTGCTCGGCGTGTCTGCTGAGCATGGCCGGATGGTGAGCCTCGAACCCATTAGGTGTGAGCATCTTCTCCCCGGGCATGGCAGCGCCTGGATGTGCGTAGGGAGGGATGCCGGCTTGAGACGTGTGTATGCTGGCCAGCCCGGAGCCAGAGAGCGGGGAGAGGCTCTGGCCCATGCAGGGATCTTTGTGATGATACGCAGGATACAGACTGTTCATAGGCGCCAAACTCCGGTCCTCTCGCATCAACGTGAAGCTGCCGCTGACATTCCCGGGGATCCTCTGGTGGGGGTGTGTATGCGGATGGTGGGGATGGTGGTGGTGGTGATGGGGAGGAAATTTGTCAGACACGGTGGAGATGGGGGGTAACGGTTGTAGAGGGGTCAGGGTGGTGTAGGTGGTGCTCGCGCTCATGCCGTGGGGGGCTTCGCACATGCTGATGGCTGGATGCAGGTGTCCCGGGTGGCCTGGGTGATAGTCTCCGCTGTCCAGGAGGGTCGCCATGCCCATGGCGCGGTGGCTCAAGCCCCGCGGGCTCGGACGGGAGTGCGGACTGTGGCCGCTCAGCAGCTCTCCATGCCCGGCGACAGACTCATGGCTCACTCCATGCAGGTCGCCTATATTTTCCATCGACAGCTGCGCGTTCATGATCCGGGCAGCGCTGTTGACAAACCATCTATCTGACCTACTGCTCTTAGCTGATGTCCAGAAATCCACACGTCCAATAAAGTTCAATTTTCTTTTGTTGCTGTTTGTGTCCTCCTCGCATCAGCCTCGTCTGCTATCACCTCTTCTTAGTAACAATATTGGATTAATCTCCTACCTTTCTTTTTGAGACGCTTTTTTTCCACCCAGGAATGAAACTTCTCTTTAAAATCCGTTCTTTTTCTTCTTATCTGTTTTTTTCTTTTCTTTTAAAAACCATAGATTTGCTTCTCTTTGTATTTCAAGCCCCCCCGTCGCCAACCAGCTGTCCCTGCGCTCCGGTCGGGTGCCGCGCCATCTCTTTAGCGGTGTGTGTCCAGTCTCTGCTCCACCGCAGCACAGATCTCACCGTCTGCACATGCGCAATGTGCGCATTGGTCTCCTCCCATGCTCTTTCTCTCTCTACCCCCTCTATCTCTCTCGCACAAAAACACACACACCTCCTCATTGCTTTGACGTTGCTTTCCTTATTAAGGAAGGGAAGAATCAAGTATTGTGCATGAATGGCAAATCCTTTTAACATTTAATAGACTAATGGGAAGGATTTTTGAAAGATCTCCTTTAATAAAATGTTCCTAGCCATAAGAATGACATTCAGATATTCCTGGGACGACGCACTAATGAATCCACCTTAGTTCTGCAGCTCATTAAAAGGATACTATATCTGTTGGACTGATCAAAATATGAATGATGGACATACCTCTTGCAGGTTAACATATGATTATTCAAAGTTCTATAATATTACAATGAGTTATTCCTACACTGCAAAAATCTTGAAAGTAGAACAAAAATCTTAAATTAAGGGTATTTACCCTTAATTTCAGTAGGTAAATAAGATAATTTGCCAATGGGATGAGCATTTTTACTTATAAAATCATATAATTAGATAATATGCATTTGAAATAAGACAAGGCAGTTGTTTTTTCTTATTTTAAATGTAAATTGTCTTATTCTAACAGCAAAGTGTCTCACTTTCCTCCTCAATTCAAGAACAAATGCACTTATTTTAAGTAAAAATGATTCATTTAGATTTTATTTTTTGCAGTGAAGTAATAATTTATCCAACATTAGAAATAATGATTGTATTGATTCTATGTCAGATCTACAATAAAATTATATATATATCTTATTCTCAAACCACATTTCAGCAATCTGAGACATTAGTCTTGGTGGACAGTGGACAGCTCTTCAGTCCACCACAGGACAAAACAAAGACATACATGCCAAAAATCTCACACACACCAAACTCACACAGAACAGTCAACTCAAAATGATTTTTTGGGGGGACTGTAGTAGGAAGTAAGGGTACCCAGAGAATGCACACAAACACAGAGAGAACCTGCAAACTCCAGACAGAAAGAACTTGCAGGGGCATAAACTCAGGCCTCAGCGCTCAAAACTGCTAAAATGGGACACTTTTTATTGATCTGGATATCTACTGGTAATAATGGGGACACTTAAACAGTATCTGAAATAAGAGTTGATCTGAATTCTTTTTTATTTGTTGTCAATATCCATTCTGCATAAAACACTGTATCTGTCCAAGACTGCAGTGGCAAAAACCCTGTGACAGCCTGGCATTCTGTGCAGGGTGTACTCCACCTTTCTGCCAATGAAACCCTGCCAAGATACAGACAGTGACTGCATGGATACAGCTACGAACAAAATATGCACAATTAATACAAAATGTGCCTCGCTTTGTTTGAGATATAAATTCATCTTTATTGTTGACTGCAGATAAAAATGTTCAGTTTTAAAACCTTAATGGGTATCCGTCATGGTTTAAACCTGAGGTGTAAGAGCTAAAATGGAGTATTTCAACCTTTTGATTAGCCTAAACTGTATTACCTCATTTATGGTTCAAAATATAAAATCTTTACACTTTTAACTCATGACTGGATAATTAAATAGATGTCCTTTTAAATGAAATTTGGTATTTCTGACTCGTTTTGCGCATTTGTGAAAGAAAAAATCAATAAAAAAAAAAACAAGAGAGGGAAACTCTTTCAGTTTCTTTTTTTTTCTTCTTAACATTAAGTAAACTTTTACATAAAAATAAATCCTCCATCATGTTGTCTCCTGAGCTGAATTCAGTACACTGTCCCAGTAATCAAATATGGGCATGATTTTTGATTATATCTTAAAATTAGTATGCCATTCTTCTTATCCGGCCTTTTCTTTTTACTGCAGGGCTCTGTTATGTAAACATAAACTGTGCTAATTGAGTGGAGGTGTCTACTTTTTAATTTTCAGGTGTTATTCCAAAAAGCCAAGCATTACGTCCATAAGAGTTCATAAAACGTCAGTCCTCCTTAAATCATTAACCGCGCATAGAGCAAACTTCCGGGGTCATTTGGAGTTGATTGTTAACTAGTTCAGCCCTAAATAATAAAGAATTACAATCGAATGAGCTATGCTTAAAATTTCCCTTCCAGAGGCTTCATATCAAAAGGTTGATAAGGAGAAGGAGGCGCGGCCATGCAGCCAACTTTTATGTGTGAATACATGTGCATCCATTCTTTCATCAGAGGCGAAGTTCAGCTGGAACACCCCCACCTACCCACCCACACCCACACGCACCAATGCCAAATATATGTGGCGGTTTAACCAAACAGAGAAGACCGTGGTACCTTCTCTTTTGATACAAAAAGATGAGCAGATGTGTCTATTGTTCAACCATTAGGCTTAACGAACCAAGCTCAGCATGATGGGTGCGCATGAGTGTGTGTCCAATTTGGAAGCCCAGTGCATTTAATCCGCTGTGTTTGAGGGAATCATTTGCTCTCTATAAGCATCCAGTTCTTATAGACATTCAAATCAAATAAATTTAATAATACATTTTTAATAACAATTAATCCTGCTGGATTCAAATCCACGTTCATAAAGACATTCCCGCCTATTTATTGTGTTTTTTACAGGACGGAAATGACATGCTTACTGATACACGCATGTCAAAGTTTTCCAGTCATGATAAGAGCCCGGCCCCTGCCTATAGCTGCATGTCAGGGGCCTCGTTTAGCCTGATAGAGCGGTAGAGCGCAGGGCGTCCTCAGCCGAGGTGACAGCTTGCAGCGGGTCAGTGTCCTTCTGGACCCCCTGCTGAATGAGGGACATGTCAAAGGTGACGCTTCAAGACTCCCAAAGCCAACATCTGCGGGGAGACAGATTAACCTTTCAGACTTTTCCCTGTTTTAGGACCTGCTAGGGGCCCCACATCTGTCGGCCCCACCCCCGCAAAATATACACTCGGTTGAACGACTTAAATAAAAGAAAATACAAAGAAATAAAGAAAAGAGAAACAGAGAGAGAGAGAGAAGTTAAACTGTCTCTGATGTAAAGTCAATGTCAACGGCGTGTGTGTGACGTGTGTCGAGACAAAGGGACACTAATGCGTCCAAGTGTGACCACCCACGCGTGCAGAACAAGGGGACATAATGGAGTTTAGAGGCAGGTCTCAACAGGACAACAAAAACACAGCGGGTGTAATTATCTTAACACACCTCCCTTCTTCCCAATCAAAGCAACAACAATTTCTATTTCTAACAACGCGCTAATTGAAAAACATTTGCTTTGTGTTTTCATCAAACTTTTAGAGCAGGGGAGCTTTTGGAAAGTTTTAAAAGGGGTGCTGATTATCTCTTTGGCTGGCGCACTCAACAGAAACCCAATAGTGCAAGAATAACATGAGCTATAAGTAAATAATAAAGTTTATTTTTGTTTGTTTTAAATGGGGGTGGTGTGAAAATGAGAGAAAAAAATAAAATAAAAAGAGAAAAAATGCTTAAATGTTGTGATCCTGCTGCCTGCTTAAAAAATATGACAAAAATAAGCTTAACAGAAAAAGAAATTAAAAGAAGCACATGTGGGGATATGTGTGTGTTTGTAAGATAATCATATAAATCATATAAATAAAAGACAAGTAAAAGGATAATGCAGGGTTTTCCTCATTTCTTTACAATGAAAGCAATAAGTTTTTTTTTTTATTAAAATTGCTAATAGAATTAATGTGACAGGGATGCCCTCATTGAATACACTTTCCTAAAAGATCAGAGCAGTTTTTTTTGTCCTCCGTCCCTCCTGTATCAACCAACGCGGCCCGAGTAAAGTGTGGGACAAGGTGCAGGAGATGGAAAAGGCTAAGCTTTGGCCTCTTGGCAACAAACCTCATCTACACATTCTTATTTGGATCGATCGGCTGCTGCCACGTCTGCTCGGCCTGCAGCTCGTGTTTTGTGTGTGTTGCGCTTCCATTGTGCCTTTACGTGCCCGTGACATTTGATTTACGCAAAATATAAGGAACAGTTTCTAAAAGCACATCTGAAAAAAGGACGCTTTTTGTCTAAATTATTGAAAAAATCATACGAAAGCAGTAGCCAACAGGTAGACAGTATCCTATTATGTGCAAATCCATACACAAGGTGCATAAACAAGCTTTGGTTTGTGGATTTATCTATTTATTTTTTATCCAAAAAGGCGTTAACGCACGAGAACATGAGGCACAGTGATAATTACTTACAGATTTTTAAACTGACGATTAATCATAGGCGCCTCTCTGATGAAGCCCGCAGCTTCATATCCGAGCAAGAAGCAATAATGCCTCCCTGAAAGGAAGGAGCGTGGATCAATATTTCAGCAGCTCTGTCTTGTATGCTCAAAATGACAATTACATCTTATCTAAGCAGCAGTTTGCGCTAAATGGCAGCTGATGAACTTTTATAAATGAGCCCACTTGAGTTTGAAAACGGAGGAAAATAAGGGCGCATACACAGGGAAAGTGAATTAACCTTTACAGAACACATCGCATTGCTCCAATGTTTTTTTTTATTTGTTTATTTTTTTTACCTGTAATTTAATTCAACGGATCCGCATTTTTATTCCAAAAATATAATATTGTACTTTTGACCACAAGTTAACTAGAAAATTATTTTTACAAAATTAAAAAGACTAAGAGGGAAAATATTAAATCAAAATATATAAAAAAAAATAAACATTTGAGATGGTTTTTTTTCTTCGATTCTTGAAATATGTGAATTGAAGCTTTGACGGCTGCCCTTTATGAGCTATATTTGAAATGTAAGGTATAGGCCTCAGAAACACAGCAACGCACCAATCAATACTGAATACAATTATCATTCCTAGAGGGGGTTCAGGCCAAGGCTCCACAATTTGTTCTAATAAACAGCCTTAAAATATCAATTGAAAAATATACTTTAATAATAATAATAAACAAATTAATTACCATTTTATACAAAGAGGATTTATTTATTACAAGGAATAAAAGTCTAGATAAAAATCCACGAACAAATGAACATATAATAAATAAATGAAAAAAATAAAATCGATTAAACGAGAGGACAGAAGACATGAACGAATAGAGATAATCTTTTAATACCCAATAACACCTTTAATCCTCTAAATTTATCTCCTTTTTTTATAGGACTTTATGGTCAAAGAAATTGTTCCCTGAAATATTGAGGCTACAGTAACAAATATCGGCCTCAAACTGGGTTTAAGATTCCTTATTAATTAAGGAATTTGCTTTTTTATTTCCTCTCTCCTTAATTAGTAAAAATGCCATCATGGGTAAACACCTGCTGCCTTGCTCAGGGGTAACTCAACTGCCTTTTCTCTTGCGTTATTCCGCGTCACTTGTTCTGATTTGCGCGCTCATGTGAAATTAATAAGGCATCACTTTACACTAAAAGGCGTCCATATGCCGCGCAATTACTCCGTGTAACTTCTGTCAGACTCCAATTATGACAACTAAACTCTGTCAGCGATAGCCAACA